TATGTAAAAATCAGTGCAGAGGCACCTGGCTGGCTTGGTTGGTTGAGCGTTTGACTCTTGCTTTCAGCTCGGGTCATGATCTCACAGTTTGTGAGATAGAGCCCCGTGTCGGCTCTGTGCTGACAGCATGGAGCCTGCTTGGGATTCTTTCTTTCCCTCTCTCTCTTTGCCTCTCTCTCTCTCCCCCTCTCTCAAATAAATAAATAAACTTAAAAAAAATAAGTGCAGCTAGATAAAGGACTTAAATGTCAAAAACAACTTTTAACACTCTTAGTATAAAATATGAGTAGATATCTAATAAATCTTGGGGTGGAGAGGGACAGGAAAGTATTTCTTAAAGAAGACCCCCAAAAATGCACTAACCATATAATAAAATAGTGATAAATATGTCTAGGTTAAAAGTAACAACTTTTGTTCATCAAAAGGCACCATTTAAGTAAAAAGACAAGTTTCAAGCTGGGATAAGATCCTACAACAGACAGGATTGAGAATATGTAAATACCTATAAACAAACCCGAAAGAAAAATGGGAAAATGACACAAACAAGCATTTGTTAGAAGAATATGTGGCCTACACATACATAAAAAGATGTTCATTATCATTGGAAATAGAAATGAAGAACATACCGAAATATCATTTCACATCTATTTGATAGACGAAAGTTCAAACAATACCCAGCATTGGAGAAGATGTGGAGCTACAGAATCTCTTAAATATTGCTAGTGGTTATGTAATATGAATATAAATTGGTACCTCCACTTTGGAAAACAGTTTCCCATCATCTTGGGAAGTTGAGCATTCATATACTTTATGACCCATCAACTCTGTTTCTGGATAGCCAAGAGAAAATCTTTCCCATGTACCAGGAGATGGGTACCTAGATGTTTTACAGCATTGTTCACATAGCACTTTGTGTTCCAAATAAACTGTTCACTGTACCCAGAGCGACCTTGAATACCTTGTCATCTCCGTGTCTTTTCATCCTGCTGCTCTCCGACCTTCAGACTAACCTGAAATGGTTCTCCCCTTTTCCTTACTCAGTTTTCTCTATTTTTCTAGACGTAACTCCAGCTTGATTTTGAGCTGGTTGTGTAGGGTTGGTTTACCTATGCCTAAAAGTTTCATGAAGTTTTCTAAGTAAGGAGACGTTTTGAAGATGATGTAATAGTTTCCCTCAGCCCCCGCCCCCTCCACTTTCCTTATTTGGCCCTTGTGCTAAATCTCTTCTTTTTTTTTTTTTTTTTTTTTGAGCTGCTACTAGATTCTAAGGAAGTTAAATCCACTCACAAAATTCCTCAAAAAATTCTATTGTAATATTAGACCTGGTTCTTTTGACTGTGATAAATTAGAACCCTGAGGAAGTTCCACCTGTTTGATGACAAGTTAAATCTTTCTTCTGTCCTCCTGTCAGTTCCCCAAAAGTAAATTCCACATATCACATAGGAAGTTTAATAGTTGGCTAGTTTGGGGGCACCTGGGTGGCTCAGTCGGTTAAGCATCTGACTTCGGCTCAGGTCAGGATCTCGCGGCTTGTGGGTTCGAACCCCGCATCTGGCTCTGTGCTGACAGCTTAGAGCCTGGAGCCCATTTCGGATTCTGTGTCTCCCTCTTTCTCTGCCCCTCCGCCGCTCATGCTATGTCTCTCTCCTTCAAAAATAAACATTAAAATTTTTTTAAAAATAGTTTGCTAGTTTTGGTTGTTTTCGTAGAAACAACAGGACTACACTTACCCCCTTAGTGTTTGAAATTGATAACCTTCGTGATGTTGACAGAGCATCAGATCATTATTTGAATACTAGAAATGAATCAAAGGACACATTGGCAGATAAAAGGAATGGTCTTTTGAAAATCTGACCCACGACCAAAACAATTTCTGTTCGTCAGTTTTTTAACTAGACCACTCTGTATTAAGACAGGATTAGTGGGGAACTACTATGAGAATAATGACTGAGAAATTAAGCCAAAAATAAAATTATCTCCAGGCATCGCCGAATGGAGGCCGTGCGACTGCGGAAAGAGAACCAGATCTATAGTGCTGATGAGAAGAGAGCCCTGGCGTCCTTTAACCAAGAAGAGAGGCGAAAGAGAGAGAACAAGATTCTGGCCAGTTTTCGAGAGATGGTATACAGAAAAACGAAAGGGAAAGATGACAAATGAGGACTTTCTGATTGTTCAGCAGACATTTTTAACAACAAAAAAAGAAAGTCTGGGTTCCATATATACATACAAAAAGATTATTATGATCTGAAAAAGCTTTACAGTGCTACTGTGCCTTCTATTTAATTCTTGCAGTTCTTCAATAAAAAGCTGCTTATTGATATGATTTTAGCAAGTTCCTTGGGTTATTTTTGGACTGACCATAATAACTTCCTGGTTTAAAAATCCAGATTACGAATGAAGTCATGCTGTATTCAGGGAGGTGGCGTTGAGAGAAAGCATCAGTAAGACAAGAGGCTTAACTCTCACACCCTGGGCCAGCACTACCGTTAGCGCTACGTGATGCCCACCCTCCACCCTACCCCCAACCCACCCCAACTGAACTTGTGGGAAATTATCATTCCTCTGTGTTGAATGTGTTATAAATGGTCTTGATAGAAGCATTCAGGAGGCCAGTTGTGTTAATGAGATGAAGGCATTGCTGAAAAAAGGAAACCTAGAATTTGAAAATTGACCTGTGTGATACACAGTCCGCCCTGGAAGTCATGTATTTTGTTCTCAGTCCCTACCTCTGTCCCCAAATCCAACGAACAGGCCAAACAGCAAACTAACCCACAGGCTTCCTGAGTTGAAAATGTGAATGTTAGTGTTTTAAATTCTTAAAGGTTTACTCAAAAATGGTTCTTCCAAATATAAAATGTTGGGAAGTCTACTGTTGTGCCAATGTAAGCACATTATTTCCATTTAAGTTGTGCTTAGGTCATTATTTGAAAACTGGAAATGAACATGAGTCCAGTACAGTTAGGAGTTTAATAGGAAAAAATTGAATGAAGCCTTGTTTTTAACATTGTCATTTTGTAAGGATGAAGCTGAAATGATAGTAAATGTATTTTAAGTCTGTCCTTTATGTAATAAGCATATTTCATTTTAAACATTGTTAAACCTTTCAGTTTATTTTTTTACATCTGTCATTCAGTTTAACTTTGTATAGAACTCCTTACTTTATCACTTCTTATGGCTACTGTTGACTTCTGAGTTTGGGAGAAATGGAAAATTCTGGGACTAGCAGTTCGTGATCTTTTTCTTCCATTATTTTGTTCAGTTTGAATTGTTAGGTCACAAGAGTGCAGGGGGAAAGGGACAAGAGAAGTTTGGGCTATTTCTGTTAAGTTTGTTTTGAGCAGTGTTGTTATGTGTCTAGGATAAATCTAAATTACTTGGGGGGTGGAAAAGTTCTCACTCTGGTTATGAAATGCCCTCGTAATAGTTTAAAGTGTTTTCCTCCAAAGTTTTAAAATAAGGCAGTCATATTGCAAAGTATTGATAAACAGTTTACTATTTAACATATATTCTAGGAAAGTGTCTACCTTTAACCGACAACAAATAAACTAAACCATTTGGCATGTAGCAATATTTATGACCCCCTGAATCTGAAGTGATTTCGGTTTATCATTGTCGCTGCTGCCTAACCTGGTAAACCTCTTATTTCCAAAAGACAAAAGGAAACTAGTGTCCAAATTTATGAGTCATAATCCGTTTACTTGCTGTGTAATAAAACCAAAATGTATAATCCCTATTTAAGAATTTTGTTCTCAAAGAACATTATTTTTTATTACTGGTTCCTAGAGACTAAAGGAGTTAACAGTCTCATTTTCAGTAGGCAGGGTAGTTTAAGTGCAACAGCTCTGATCTAGGATTATTGTGGATTTTTATTGGATTCTCCTGTCTCCCCCACAGAGGAGCAGAGTAGATAGGCAACAATGCTTGTTTAGTAAATGAGAGAAAATATATTAATGTATTTCAGAACTTTCCATTTCTTTCACCAGAGTCTGTTCAGGAAAGATCTACCAAGGAACAGCTTCAGTAGCAAATTCTTTGGTAAAGAGGAGGGAAGAATAAAAGGACTGAAAGTATTTTATTTTGATCTCATGAGAGTTACTGCTTCAAACTGTGTTTAGTCATCTGAGCCATACATCAAATAGGAGGGGTGTTGTATTTGAAATACATGTTTTATTCTTCAGGGAGACTTAATCTAGTTTTCCACCTCCTGGCCTGTTGTTCTGATAAGATCTTCCCTCCTTTTGTATCTATTGCATAAATGGAAGAGTCAAAAAAAAGAAGAAAAATATTACCCACAGTCTTACCACATCCATTGTCTTTAGTATTCTGTGTTCCCTTCCAGTGCTTACCTACGTAAATACATATTCTGACATACCTGTAAGTAATTGCCCGTAATGTTATTTTGTCTTTGGTGTTTTAACACTTTGCAGCCAGGCAAGACAGCCTCATGGGGACGGTAGGAACAAGTGATGATCTGGTGTTAGTCTGGGAAGAAGACGAAGTAAGGGTGGCTATCGAACATTTGTCTCCTGTCTTCAGGCCACCCTGTCGCCATCACGGTTGGGATGCTGTGTTGCCGTAGGCAGCATGCCCGGCTTCAGGGTTTCAAAATGTATTATTTAACTTACTCACTGTAAGTGAAGGAAGGGGCCTATGAGTAAGGAAATATTATGAGCTGTAGGATCATCACCCCTTGTCTTTTCCCCAGTTATGCACTAGAGAATTATGCTCACGTGGGGGAATGAGCTGCCAGGTGTCAATCTCAGTTTAGTCTGACAGGTGAGTTTTAGCAAGTCTCTAAACTTGGCTTCTCTACCTGTAAGACTCTAAGTGATATAGGTAGTGATGGGAAAAACCATTTAGAAAATGGAAAACAACTTACTGGTTACTCTGCTAATGTGATGGAAGTTGCCGAATGGAAAATGAATGAATGCAAAAAAGAAAAAAATACAGTTGGATTGTTTGCCAAAAGTTTATTATTCAATAAATATTCCGTGGTTTGATGTGCAGTATCGTATTTTTAACACATTGTGATTAGAAATCCAATCCTAAAGCATTCTGTAGGAATGAGACACCATTGAATTAGAAGGCAATTGACTCCATTAAAATATTTTTGGCCTCAGTAATGTCCCTCAGCCATTTTTCTCGAAAGCGAGTCATTCCTGGTCTGCAGAGGAAGAAAAACAAACATACTAAAACCTTTAAAATTTTTTTTTTTTTAATTTCTAGGAGAGAGAGAGAGAGAGAGACAGCATGAGCAGGGGAGGGGCAGAGAGAGAGGGAGTCACAGACTGAAACAGGCTCCAGGCTCTGAGCTGGCAGTCAGCACAGAGCCTGACGCGGGGCCCGAACCCACGAACCGGGAGATCATGACCTAAGCGAAAGTCGGACACTTAACCGACTAAGCCACCCAGGCGCCCCCTAAAACCTTTTAAAATAAAACAAAACATTTGAGCCAGGGATCCCCTGTTTATTCTGTTACGTTCCTAGTAAGCAAAGAATGTTTTGGGGATGGGGAGTGAAGGTCGTCTCTATTCCATAGACCCAATCAATAAAAGCGTTGAGTTTATATGGGAAGATTCTTTAAAAGAGGTCCTGTACAAATAAAAGATTATTATATAGGACTTACTTCCATATGATTGTGAAATTTCCCATAGAAACAATAGACTTGACCCACTTCGCTCCCACTCTACCTCAGCAACTAATCCTTAAGTTTCTAATTACTGAATAACGAAACAATGGCAGAATCCTACTTTTAGCCCATCCTAATAGGGTGGGTGGGTCAAAGAAAAGTGACCGTTACATGAGTTACCTGTGGCTATGGGCCTGCTAAGTTCCTGGGGTATGATAACCTTTTCCCACCACCTTTTTAAAAATAAGTCTCCGGGGGCACCTGGGTGGCTCAGTCAGTAGAGCATGTGACTCTTGATCTCGAGATTGTGAGTTCTAGCCTCGTTGGGGGTAGAGATTATGAAAAAAAAAAAAGTCTCCAAATGTTCGTTACCTGTGAACTAACGAATGGCCCTCAAAGATATAAGAGACCTCAATGGGCATATCCTAAGAGAGAAAATGACAACTGTTAGCCTAGAGCAATCATACCAGCTCCTAATTCCTTCCATCCCCACCCTTGTCCATATACATATACTCATAAATTTCTAGAATTTACCCTCCTTATTGGGATGTCTATAGGTTCTTTGTTACTTCAAATCTCTGTTCCCCAAAAGATATTTTCGGCAACACATAACATAAAGAATCTCCATTAAAAATTGGAAAAAAGTCAGGAAAGGCTTGTGTTCCTCATGAAGAGTCGTTTACCTTCTTTACGTGTTCCACTTTACTCAGCTGACCGTACTTTCCTCTTAGGAATAGTGTAAGAATGAAGTAATATTTGAAAACGTTTTTAAAGCCACATAAAAATGTCGGTTGTAAAATTGTCTCAGTGACCCCCACCCATTCTCCCTTCCAAAATTATACTTGGAACACTGATCAAGAGCCCTTCTCCTGAGCACTCAGTGCATGGGCTCTGGTCATGGTCTTGCTTCCCTCCACCAGCCTTACTTTCCAGTCTCCAACCTTGCCACTTAGCAAGGCCGCTGATGGCAGGATCGGTGACTAGGGGAAGGGAGAGCTCCACATACTTGACATTTTTACATTACTGCAGGTTCGAATAGATAAGTTTGTAGTAGGCTGGGATAAATATGAGACATAGTTGGCTCACTGTGTAGCCATATATAAAGCTTTAGAGTCAGACGAAGCCTCAGTAACTCCTGTGAAAGGATGGAAAGCGAGAGGAGAAATAACATTTTTATGTCTGCCGTGTTCTGGGCATTATGCTTGGCACCAGCCCTGCTCCTCTGATGACCCGAGCCCTAGATCCATGGGTGTTATTTTAACTCCTTTCACACCAGGTATCAATAGTTCATATTCGCCATCTGCCTGGCAGCTACAGGCAGTCATCCCTTCAAGTATTTACTGAGTGCCTACTATTTGCCAGGCCTCGTTTTATAGCAAGACAGACATTCCTGCCTTTGTGGAACTTACATTCTGGTAGGGGGAGCAGACCATAACAAGACAGTAAATTACATAGACTATCAAAAGGTAATACAGTGTTCTGGAGAAAAGCAAAGAGTGGGGGGAGGGATAGAAAGTGTGGTCCGGGAGGTGAGAGCTGGATATGCACATACCGAGGGAAGAGCGGTCCAGTGGAGGGACTGTGCCTGGATTGTTCAAGAATAGCAAGATCACAGCAGCCGGAGGAGAGTGACTGAGGGAGGAGGTGGAGGAGGAAAGCAGAAATAACAAGGGACTAGATCACACAAGGCCTCGTAGGCCCTCACTGCTCAAATTGTGCTCAGTGGACCTGCAGCGTCAGCATCGCCTAGGATCTCGTTAGTAACGCAGACTCTCCAGCCACACCCCAGACCTGCCAAATCAGAATCTTCTTTTGACAAGATCCCCCATCAATTTGCAGGCACTTTGAAGTTTGAGAAACACAGTGAAACAGAGGAGTGATATAAATTCATTTTACGAGATGTCTGCAGGTAGGTCAGGTTGGGAAGGGAAGATGGCAAGTTCAGTTTTGGATACAAGAAAAGAAGTGAGGTGTGTATTAAACAGGAGATGTTTATTAAACAGTGGCAGAGGTCTAGGCTAGAGATATGGATTTGGGGATCATAAGCTAGAGGTGGCATTTAAAGCCGGGAGACCATAAGATCGCCAAGGGAATGAGTACAGATGATAGGCTCCAGGCCAGTGGAGACTGAGAAGGAAGGGTCAGTGAGGCAGGAGGAAGACCAGGATAGTATGTTGTTCTAATGGCCAAATGAAACATTTCCTGAAGAAGGGGAGTGAGCAGCTAGGGCGGGTGCTACAGATTGGCCAAGCAAGATGAAGACAGAAAGAACTATTAAGCACTATTTTGTGAGACTATTAAGTTGTACCAAAAAAAAAAAAAAAGGAGGTCATCGATGACCTTGACGAGAGAAGTCTCCGTTCTCACTGAAGTCTCATCTAAGTGAACAGGGCAGAAAAGGGAGAGCTTACTGGAGGTTTGTTTTTGGTGATCTTGATGGTGAAGTAGGCAGAGGCGGAGACTTGTGGCATGGGTCTCACGGCGGTTGGAACACTCCAGCGCACGCAGTAGATGTAGTAGTAGCTGTGAACCACGTCTCTCCTCTCTATAAACTGTGTGTAGTGCACCCAGCGGTCTTGATACTCCCAAGTCTGTTTCATAGAAAAAAGAAAATGCACACAGGAAGAAGAGCATGCTTCTATTCACGTCCTCTAGATAAAGGCAACACACGACAGTAAGGGTTACAAGCCCTGCTTCTGTCGTCCGTCCCCCCCTTTTTTGATTGAGAGTCACACTAGAGTCACCTCCCAATTATCTCCGCAAGTGGAGAGAAAAGGTGAAGCTGACACGAAAGGAGCGACGAAGGCAACATGGCTTGAGCTTGGGCTTTGGAACACAGAGAGGCACACGCTCAGATATGTGGGTGTACGTACACGCCATGCACGCTTGCACACTGACCTCCTTCCAGACCCTGACTTGGGTGGCAAGTTTGGTTCATTGGAGAGTAATTAGAAAGTGATTAGAACATGTGTTCTGCTCACTCTGCTTGGGAGGCCCAAAGGTATGAGTAATGAGGCTGCAAGGTGCTTGGGTGGCTCTGTTGGTTAAGCATCCGACTCTTGATTTTGGCTCAGGTCATGATCTTACGGTCATGAGATCGAGCCCCGAATCGGGCTCCATGCTAGGCCTGGAGTCTCTTAGGATTCTCTCTCTCCTTCTCTCTTGGCCCCTCCCCTGCTCTCAGACTTTCTGTCTCACAAAAAAAAGAAAAAAGAAAAAAGAAAGAAAGAAAGGAAGGAAGAAAATGTAATGAGGCTGATCTCACAAGCTATTTTTGAAAATCAGCCTCACTTCATTGCAGACATTGGTGATATATAAAGTAAGTTCAGAAAAGGAATGGGTCAGGCACTAGGATCATCCGACTCCTCAGATCCCTATCTACCCCCTCGGAGATGTTTCTTTCTCCACACACATCTTACTAGTGCCTAGGGCCCACAGAAGTCATAATGCAGCCCCGAGTCGCAGCACAGGGCCTCGAATGCTATTGGTAATCAACAAGTTCAATTCATCTGCATCCCCTTGGCTTGGCTACTGGGGCACAGGAAGCTTCCAAATCAAAAAAAGATGCTGAATTAAGATGAAGGTCCACAGAAGGAAGGAAGGGAGTTAGTCTAACAATCTCAGTGATGTGAGGAGGGACAGTAGGAGGGTGATGGCAGACAGATTTCCGGCCCTCCTTTAAAAAAAAAAAAAAAAGGCTGGGGGGCTCAGCTTACTTTATTTCAGACTTACACCCAACTGGTTGTTTCAAGTCAGCCAGACAAGAGCACCAGACACCAGATTCCTTGAGATCAGGGACTGTATTTTACACAGATTAGCATTCCTCTTAATGAAGGCGCCTGACAGGTCCCCCTTTGTGACCCACTGGAGCAATGCTTTTCTTTCCAACCTTTCTATATGATTCTATTTCTTCAGCCCTAATGTTTCATCTGCCGCACAAAGACTTTGTACCATTGGAAGGGTCCCTAGAGCCCATTTAAGGAAACCCCTCACTTGGCAGATGAGCATATTGGGGCCTAGACACGGGAAGAGACAGCCCACAACAGCTGGGACTGGACCCAGGGTTCCTGAGCAGCCTGCTCAGTGCTCTCTCCACCCGACCAGATGTCTCCATTCTAAGATTTTCTTCCTCTCAATTTGCTGTCTCAGTAGTTGGTTTTGTTCTGTTTTCTTTTCCCTTTTGTGAACTTGGGCAGCCTTCGGCACATTAAATTCCACTATCTCCATCAGGCCAGTCTCTTCCCATTTTTATCAGTGTTCAGGCAGCTGACTTTTGTGTAGCTCCAGTGAGTGTGTGTTATCCTTGTATTTTGTAATTTTTGCATAACATTGCTTCATATACTCGCTTCCAGGGAACAGTATCTCACTGTGCTCCTCTACCACGGATGGCTTAGCCAACCACATATTATTGGACACTCAAAATCAACAGGCACCTGGAAGTATATGCACAAAACTTATCAATGGTAAGTGACCTTTGAGGGAGTAGAACTGGGTATTGTGGGGGGTGAAAGGGGAAACTTATATTTTCTACTCTGTGTCCTTTTGCTCACCGGGGCCTTTTTTATAATGATGTCTTACTTTTATTATAAAAATAATTTTTAACTATATGTTAGGCCTTGGGGATTTTCCAACTTTTATTTGGTTATTTTTTTTTAATTTTTAAAATCGTTTTTTTTTCCAACTTTACTCTTAGAAAGAACATATTTGTATATTCCTGTTCCCAGATTGTGTTCCTTCAAAGAATAAACTAATTGTTGTGCTCATTGGTAACGTATAAGTATCCCTGTTCCCTCCCCCAAAATACACAAGACTTCGGACACCAGGCTTAACCATTCTTATACACATTGCAGTGCCTTAAAATCCTTTGAATTTGCATTTTTCACGGACAGTAAGACTTCTGCATTATTTTTATCATCAAAAAGAGCTTTTCTTACTATGGTAGCAAAAAGGTACCAGACCTGTGAGTCAGAACTTTATTTTTGCTGCTTCATCAGAAAGACTTTGGACAAATTGCCCAACCTCTCTGAGCCTCAGGGTTTCTCATCTGCAAAATGGATACAGTGATGTACCCACCTACAGGTTTGTTGTGGGGATTAGATGAGATCATGCACATGAAGTGCTTGGCGGTGCTTGGCTAAAACTACTAATTGGCCATCCCCTGGCATATGGTGCACTCTGGAAAATCTGCAGTAAGCTTGCGAAAGCTCTCCATCGGAAATGTCTGACACTCAGGGGCGCCTGGGTGCCTCAGTCAGTTAAGCGTCCGTCCAGCTCAGGCCATGATCTCACAGTTTGTGGGTTCGAGCCTTGCGTCGGACTCTGTGCTGACGGCTCAGAGCCTGGAGCCTGCTTCAGATTCTGGGCCCCCCCACTCCTCTGTCCCTCCCCTGCTCACGCTCTGTCTCTCTCTCAAAAATAAATAAACATTAAAAAATTAAAAATAAATATCTGACACTTAGATGGGAGACTTTACCTGGAGGGCTCACCGCATTAGCAGGGCTAGGAACAAGGTGATTTTATGTCAGTAGCTATATAGAGCCTTTAGCTTTTCGGTAACCTTCTACTTTTCTTTTTTTAATTTTAAAAGCAGTTTTTAATGTTTATTTTTGAGAGAGAGAGAGTGAGTGCAGTAGGGGAAGGGCAGAGAGAGGGAGACACAGAATCCAAAGCAGGCTCTGCACTATCAGCGCAACACCTAACGTGGGGCTTGAACCCATAAACCGTGAGATCCTGACCAGAGCCAGTTGGACGCTCAACCAACTGAGCCACCCAAGCGCCTCGTCACGTTCTACTTTCTAATTGTCTTATCCTCATAACAGTCCTACCAAGTAGTTAACCCCTCATCTGTGAACAAATAATGGTATTTAGAGATTACGTCTGTTCGTGGAATAGAGAATAAGAGAGAATAAGTCTATTCGTGTTTTCAACATTTATTTATAGAACATCTCTGCATACCTGACCTTTCTAGGGGCTGAGGTCAGAGAAAGGGACAAAAGCCTCTGCCCTCTTGGACCACATGATCCGGTGGTAGAAGAAAAGCCAAAGGTAAATAAGTAAAATCTAGTATCTTAGGTAGAGCTGAATGCTAAGGGAAAAAGTAAATCAGAGAAGGAGAAAGGGTTGTAATTTTAGATGAGATGGCCAAGAAAGGCCTCAATGAGGAGGTAGAATCTTTGTTAAATTGAACTATAGTTGCCAGACGGTATTACATTAGTTTCAGCCATAAAACGTAATGATTCAACATTTACGTACATTATGAAATGATCACAGTGGGTCTGTCCCCATACAAGAGTTACTACAATATTAATGACTGTATTTTCTCTGCTGTACTTTTCTTTTTTTTTTTTTTTTTTATCTGCTGTACTTTTCATCCCCGTGAATTTATTTTATGACTGGAAGCTTCTCCTTCTTAATCCCCTTTACTTGTCTCACCCAAATCATACCCCTCTCCCTTCTGATAACCACCAGTTTGTTCTCTATATTTACGAGTCTGTTTCTGTTTTAATCTGTTAGTTCATTTGTTTTGTTTTTTAGATGTCATGTGTTGAAGTGAAATCATATGGTATTTGACTTACTTCACTTAACATAATACCCTCTAGGTCCATCCATGTTGTCACAAGTGGCAAGATTTCCTTCTTTTTTGTGGCTGAATAATATTCCATTGTATATACATACCATATCTTTGTTATCCATTCATCTATTGATGGACACTTAAGTTGCTTCCACATCTTGGCTATCGTAAAGAATGCTGCAGTGAACATGGGATGTGTCTGTCTTTTCAAGTTAATGTTTTTGTTTTCTTCGGATAAATATGCAGAAGTGGAATTGCTGGATCCCACAGGATAAAATACAGTATTTCTATTTTAAATTGTTTGAGCAACCTCCGTCCTGTTTTCCATAATGGCTGCCCCAATTTACCTTCCCACCAACAGTGCATGAGGGTTCTTTTTTCTCCTCATTCTCACCAACATTTGTTATTTCTTGTTGTTTTGATACTAGCCATTCTGACTGGTGTCAGGTGGAATCTCTGTGGTTATGATTTGCATTTCCCTGATTAATGATGTTGAGCCTCTTTCCATGTGTCTCTTGGCCATCTGTATGTCTTCTTTGGCAAAAATTTCTGTTCAGGCCCTCTGCCCATTAAAAAAAATTTTTTTAATGTTTTATTTATTTCTGAGAGAGAGAGAGAGACAGCATGAGCAGGGGAGGGTCAGAGAGAGAGGGAGATACAGAATCTGAAATAGGCTCCAGGCTCTGAGCTGGCTGTCAGCACAGAGCCCGATGCGGGGCTCGAACCCACAAACTTTGAGATCATGACCTGAGCCAAAGTCAGATGCTTAACTGACTGAGCCACCCAGGCGCCCCACCTCTGCCCATTTTTTAAGTGGATTTTCATTTTGGTATTGAGTTATAGGAGTTCTTTATATATTTTGGATAGTAACCCTTTATCAGGCATCTCATTGGTAAAATAGCTTCTCGCATCCAGTAGGTTGCCTTTTCCTTTTGTTGGTTTCCTCCACTGTGCAAAAGTTTTTTAGTTTGATGTAGTTGCAGTTGTTTAGTTTTGGTTTTGTTTCCCTTGCCTGAGGAG